TGCCCTGCTCAGGTCTTGCAAATTCAGGGTAGCCATTTCTTCCTTGATTTAGTCTATCCACCTGCAAGGCAGCCTTCCTCTTTTCCTACTGCCATCCACTTTGCCAAACATTATCTTTCCCAGCGAGAAACATTGGGCCATCGAATCCAACCCCCTGCCATGGAGGAATATACAGCTAAAGGTGCATCTAGACTTTAGAAATAATGGGGTTTGGCACCACTTTAAGGGCTGTGGCTCCATCCTATGGAATCCCGGGAGTTGTAGTTTTGCAAAGTCTTGAGCCTTTTCTGCCAAAGAGTGCTGGCGCCTCCCCAAACTACAGAATCCAGGCAGTTACAGTGGTGCCAAACGGCATTATTTCTACAGAGTAAATGCACCCAGAATCCCTAAATTATTATTATGTAGATTATGTAGAAATTCCTAAATTATTTCTACAGGATAGATGCACCCTAAATCACTCCTGACAGATGCCCATTCCACTCTGATTAAAGACTTCCAAAGAAAGAGAGTCCACAGCCATTCCACTTTGCGATGATGATGATGATGATGGTGATGATGATGATGATGATGCCACCTCATTGCAAGATGGGAAATTTGGGAAAGATGGGAAATTTGGTCTTAGTGGATCCCATGGTTTGTTTCACCAGCATTTCTAGCCAGGATCCTGTGGACGTTTGCTGTCATGCCTTGGATTCTGCTGAGATCTCAACCAAGGTTGCATCTGCACTGCAGAAGTAATCCAGTTTGACACCACTTTAACTGCCATGGCTCAATGCTATGAAATTCTGGGATCTGTAGCTTTGTGAGCTATTTAGCCTTCACTGTCAGAGAGCTCTAGTACCGCAACAAACTACAATTCCATTTTCATTGTCACTTTTGTAAGTTTTTAATGGTATTTTTGAAAGTTTTTAATTGCAAGGTTTTAAGACTGTAATACACCGTGGGTCCCAATTTGGGGAGAAAAGCGGGATACAAATTAATATAATAAATAAATGAATGCAGACCCCTGGATTCCATAGCATTGAGCCATGGCAGTTAAAACAGTGCTGAACTGGATTATTTTGGCAGCGCGGATGCAGTCCAAGTCGGAAGAGCATGTGTGCTGCTGGGACTTCAAGCATTTAAAATGGTGTCACACTTGAGACAGGTGGCCTTTGCAGACTGCCAGAAATAGTGCAAATTGAGGTCACTTTAACTGTCCTGGCTCAGTGCTAGGGAATCATGGGAATTGTATTTTTTTTCTGAGACATTGAGCCTTCTCTGTCAGAGAGCTCTGGTGCCACAATAAACTACAGTTCCCAAGAGAGAGGCAGAGGCATCACCTTTTCAAAAGTTCGATACTGTCAAGCAAACATGGACCGAAAGAATATTTTGGTTCTGCCCCCATTTTCCTCCCTCCCTCCTTTCCTGCAAACCAATTAATCTCTCAGCAGTCCTTTTTGATTATTTAGACATTCTCCCAGCTCCTCATAACGTGGGATTGTAACTGCGAGGCTTAATGCCACGGTGCGTGCGCTCTTGGTTTATTACACCTGTGTGACCGCTCCGCTTGACTTCGCTCCGCCAGGAGCCAAGTTCCTTTCCCGTAATTCCAAAATAGCTGTGAAACATACAAATTCCCAGGCTTGACCTCTCTGCCACATTCCGTGCAGTTTTGGCAACCGACGATATTTGCCTCCAACCCCAGACGCACATTGCGATGGGAGCAGATCATGAGACAGGAAATCGGTGCAAATGTGCTGTGCGCTAGCGCATTCGGGGCCCATTTCTTGCAGGAAACCTAACATGGTAATCTCTGGGTTTCATCTTGAAAGGGCTCACAGATATGGTCAGGAAAAAAGTTACTATGGCTTGCCCAAACTTTTTATATTTTTAAAAAATATATATAGTATTTTTATATGATCAAAAGCAAATGTACAAATGTGCAAAATGCATCTTTTCCTAGTAGTTATCCCTATTTCTTCCTTATAACTTCCTGATCTTAATCCCATTACATAGCATTGCATATTCTCTCTTAATTCATCTGAGATAACAATGTTTGGTTTCACAGTGACATCAATAAACTCTCCATTTACTCTCATAGAATATGGTTGCAATAAAAATAAAATAAAATAAGTCGCCTATCTGCAAACAATTCTTTTATGATGTTCCTTGTCATTGTCAAAATTCCTTCCAATTTCCTTATAAACTCGTTTACTTTTCCTTTGTTTCCATGTAATTTTATGTGTCTAGATTAAAAGTATAGCATTTATGCAGTGCCTTACTCTTCTTTTTTGGAGGTCTTTAAAGAAAGGTTGGAGAGCCATTTACTGGGATGCTTTACCTGTGAGCCTTGACTAGTAAGACTAGTAAAGTAAGATGCTGTGTAAGTGATATACAAACTTTTGATACTTTTGAATCATAAAGTTGGAGCTTTCCAAGAGTTGGAAAGGATTGCAAAAACCATCTGCTCCATCCAGGAATCTACAGGTAAAGCATCCCAGTAAATGGCTATCCAGCCTCTATTTAAAGACCTCCAAAGAAGAAGAAGAGTCCACTATCATTCAAGGAAGCCTATTCCATTGTCAAAAAACTGACAGCCAAGAAGTTCTTCGTAATGTTTAGGTGGATTGTCTTTCTTTCCCATATTTTGGTCATTTTGATCCATAGGTTTGTGTACTAGTCTCCGGAGCAGCAAAAACCAAGCTTGCATCCATCTTCTAGGGATCCTTTTAGGCATGGCTTTGGGCAAGTCACACTCTCTCAGCCTCAGAGGGTGATAATGGCAAACCCTCTCTGGACAACCTGCTAAGGAAACTCCATGATAGGGTTTTCATTGCCATCCCTGGCGTTCACCTTGTATAGAAACTTAAGGAACAAAGACCAGGAATGTGTTTCTGAGAAGGCTGTTGAGCGTTTCTAACACTTGAGCTCCCAAAACCATATTCTAGAATTGATTCTTTCCCCCATATTCTTTTTTTTTTAAAGCCAGCTGGATTTTAAGAGAGGCAAAAATCCCATAGGTGGGATTATGCTAAGTGTTTTTAAGGGGAAATGGCTGGGAAATTCTCAGGGCCTCTCCTCAACCATGGCATCCGTTTAAAAAGAAAAGAAAGAAATAGAGGAGAAATGCAGACCGTCAGAGATTTTACAAGCCTTGCCACAAACCCAAGAGCCGACTGACTGACTGATTTTCATATGGATTAATCATTAAGGTATGGAAGGTCTCATGTTTGTGGAACAGCTCAAGAGAGTTCCCTGTATTCGGTGGGCTTTCAGGACTTTCTCTGAGCCACACAGTTGTTCGTTTGCAATGTTTAATTAGTTCCAAAACTAATTAGGGCCCAGGCTTTGGTCCACACTTTTCAGTCTGAATCACTTGGTCTAATTCCAGCTTTCCTTCATCAGCAGTTCTTTGATACCTAGGAACAAGGGATGATGGCCATCATGGACTAATATGCCCTCCAGGTGCTTTGGACATCAGTTCCCATCAGCCACCAGCTTCTGGGCATTGGAATCCAAAATGTTTGGACAGCACCAGGCTATAGGAACCGGCATGGTGTGGATCTGGTGCTTTCCAGATGTTTTGGATTACAATCCCCACAGTTCCTGATCATTGGTCATGATGGGTTGGGGATATGGGTGTTGGAGTCAACATTTCTGGATGGTAGAGAGCCAGTCTGGTGTAATGGTTTGTGCACTGGACTAGGACACTGGGAGACCAGGGTTTGAATCCTGGCTCTACCATAGAAATCCATTGGGTAACCTTGGGTAACCTTGGGCAAGAAAATTGCCAAGAAAACCCTATGGTAGATCTCCAGAGACCTAATCCAATACTCAAACCACTAACTAAGTTTTCTGTATATATAAGTTCTTTACAAAGAGGTTAAATCCCAAGCAGAATGGCGCCCAAATAGAGTCAGGCTTGGCATAGTGGTTTTAGTGTTGGGCAGCAACTCAGGAGACCAGGGTTCGATTCCCAGCTTGACCATGAAACCCACTTCATGACCTTGGCCAAGTCACATGCTCTCAGCCTCGGGGAAAAGCAATGGCAAAGCTCCTCTGAACAAACCTTGTCAAGAAAACCTCATAACAGGTTCGCCTGAGGTTGCCAATGGTTGAAACAACTTGAAAGTACACAACGTCAACAACAACAAGAAGAAGATGACTGTAGATGCTCAGGGTTACTTTCAACCATCTCAGTCTTGCATGTTCCCAAATCCATCCTTGGCACTGAAGAGGGACTAGTCATGGGATGCATGAGAGAGAGATTCTTGGCTGGCGATGCGTTCTGTCTATTCCTCCAATTCTCTTGTCTCCTTCCATGGCATTTTCCATTCTGTCCAAAATATGGCACCTCCCTGCTCACAAATCTCTTTGAAACCCTGAGCCATTCTCTTGTTTTTAATTATGGCAAACAGATGAAAATCACATGTGAAGCGACTTCTGCGCAAAGAACAAAGTGTGGGGCGAATGTGTTGCTAGATACACAAAAACCAACAAGGGTTGATATTTTCCCCAAACCTCTTAGTCTGAAACAACCTTTTCTTTTAGAGAATTACACTTCTTCTTTACTTTCAGCTATCATTCCCTGCTTTGGTCTCTTGGTTTTTATTATGTTTCCCATCAACCCCAAAAGTGACATTGGCATATATATATATATATATATATATATATATATATATATATATATATATATATATATATATATATATATATATATATATAAATCTCCTTTTGTTTAATGGCTTCTGTTAGGTTACTGTGGATACCGACTCTTGCTCAACTCCCTCTTCCTTAATCTCAAATATGTTTTGAATTTGACATGACAGCTTATTTATTTGGTGCACACGCGTGTGGAAAAAAAAAGGTGCACATTTTACAGGAAGCGTGAGCTCAGCTATTTGGTTGGCTTGCTCTTTAATAGCATTCCTGAATTCTCAGCCAATTCTTTTTTTTTTCCCCCAAAAAAATAAAAATAAAAATACTCGCTTACACCAAGAATGTTGAACAGCCCCAGATTTTCTTTCTTTTTTTTGGGGGGGGGTAGGAATGGGGAGGTAGCCAAAGGAAATATAAAATTAATTAGCAACACAATTTAGGCCTTTACCTGACTAGTAAAAAGGCTCAAGTGTTTGTACTCGCAAGAGCTTTCTGGCTCAGGTCCCTTTCTCCTCTTTTAAGAGCCTTGCAGGGTCAAAAGTCATATTGCTTTCAGTTGTAATGATATTAACACCTTCAAAATGGACATGAATCAGAAAATTGCAGAAAACGAATCGGCCACAAATGATGCCTCCAGCCATGCTCTTCATCAGAGTCGGTGCTTGGGGTTTTCTTGGTCGTGAGGATGATGCCGTGGAGGAGTTATGCAGAAGAGATGTCCTCCTCTTTGCTATTTTCGTGCCTATTATTGATTGCTGATATTCTATACCAGGTACATATGTATAACTAGGGCTGCATCTGCACTGCAGAAATAATGCACTTCGGCATCACTTCAACTGCTGTGGCTCCATGCTATGGAATTCTGAGATTTGTAGTTTTGTGAGCTATTCTGAGAGCTCTGGTGCCGCGACAAACTATGGATCCCAGGATTGCATAGAATAGAGCCATGGCAGTTAAAGTGGCGTGAATCTGGATTACTAGGGGCTGTTCCTAGGTCTCAGGGTTTGGCCTGAAATACTGAAATGGCAACCTCATTCCTTTTCAGAGCAGCATATTTTTTAAACTCCAAGGCAGTACTAAGTAGTAACAATAATTGTATCACCAATGTTTAAAAGCTCACCAAGTCATGCTGGAAAATGCAGTGAAAAGATACTCCTTTTCCCAAAAGTGGCTTGTGGCTTCCATGTCAGTGGGATAGCAAACCTTTACTCTGCTTTTAGTCCAAACTTTAAGGACAGTTGTGCTGGGATATTTAATTTTACTCATTGTTTTCACTGAATCACACTTTAACATTTTCTCCGTATTCTGAATTACCAAGCCTGAGCAGCCGATGGCTTTTAAAATTATGTTTTGCAAAATGGCAAACTTTGCAGGAAAAAATGCAAATGCTATGGTGCTGCCCCTTTCTCCGTTCACTGCCTCCGTCCGGCCGCCACAGAGAGAAAAAGTTCCAGTTATAACTTATTTAGATATATTTAACTAACGCAGGAAAAATGTGATGCTGTCTTGTTCATCATTTGGAGGTTGCTCACAGGTAGAAGCCAACTGGAAAGCAATTAACGCTGACGATTTCTTCATGGTGCTCAGCAATAACAAAAACAGCCAAGGTTAACCTTGCAGGGTCTGATTTGCAACGTGTGTCGTGTTGTGCGCCGTCAAGCCGTTTCGGACTTAGGGTGACCCTAAAGCAAACCATAAGGGGTTTTCTTGGCAAGATTTGTTCAGAGGAGGTTGGCCCCTGAAGCTGAGAGCATGCGGCTTGCAATACAAATTTGCAATACAAATTACTTTTGACGGAGGATGTTGGCGGGAGTGGAATGTCCCCTTCTTGGCTTCTTTGGCAGGTGGATGTTAAACCTGAAAACAGAAGAAAGGGACACCTGTCCAAAATGGAAAACTTCCCTTGAGGGTTTTTGGCACCCATTGTCCTTTCATAAAGGGGGGGATTATGTGTAATCTGAACACTCTGTGCTGGCATTCTTACGGCCGCCCTGGGAAGCATTTTTGGGGGCATGTGGGTGGACCATTCTCCCTACGGAGAGTCAGCTCCACAATGTGATCTTTCATGCTCTTTTCCTTTCATCTCTTCCCGCAGTTGAGGCCAGGAAAGTGGGAGGGAAAGGCATTTTGCAAGAAGAAAACAGTTGTTTTTGGTGAGGAGGAGGAGGAGGAGGAGGCAATCCCAAATCGATCCTGTACAAGTGTTCCTTGTCCATTGGACAATTTTTGGCAACAGGGACACATCCTGCACTGTGGCTGGTAACCTATTAAAAAGCTGTGAAAGTGTAAACCCAACATTGTGTGCCTTCAAGTCATTTCCAAGTTATGGCGACCCCCTGGTGAACCTATCATAGGGTTTTCTTGGCAAGATTTGTTCCAAGGAGGCTTGCCATTGCCTTCCCCTGAGGCTGAGAGAGTGTGACTTTCCCAAGGTTTCATGGTCAAGTGGAGAATTGAACCCTGGTCTCCAGAGTTATAGTCCAATACTCAAACCACTACAAAACACTGGCCCTCTATGCCAAATGTACCATTGCTCCCTGACAAAGAATGCTAAATGTCTTACAAAACGACAGTCCCCAGGATTCCCTAACATTTAGTCAGGGCAGTTAAAGTGGTCTCAAAGTGGATTATTTCTGCAGTATGTTTTGCACCCATGCCTCATGGAAGGCTTAAGTACCAGCAATTTGCCATCTCTCTGTTAAGGCCAGGCAGTTTTAAATCCCCCAAAAGCAAAGGAGAGTCCTCTTTGCAGACCACTGATCTCCAAGGTTGTGCACTTTCTTGAATTCCTGACCCCATGGATTAGCTATAAAATATAGGATTTTTCTTTCTGCTTCCTCTCCATGATGACCGTTCATTTCCATGAGTGATTTCAGAACATTTGAGACCCTGCTATATTATCATTACCATTATCATTATTTATATGCTGCCTTTTACTCTGTATCTCCTCATTCTGATTCTTCTGCAACCGCTTAACTCTACCTGAGCCTGGTTTCCCCGGTGCGTCCTACTTCTAAACATAGGACAGAAGCAAAATAACAAGCAAGGAAAAAGATCCATGACCACCATGAATGCATAGTGAACACAGTGGGGCCCTAAATGCACCCATCTGGTTTTTGGAAGCTGAGCAGGGTCAGATCTGGTTAAGCCTTGGGTGGGAGACCACTGGGGAAAACTAGGGATCATCAGGTAGGCTAGGAAAGTGATGCCAGTCAGATCTGACAGTAGTGGACATAGATGGGCCAATGATCTGACTCAGTATAAGGCAGCTTCCCGGGTGGAATACATCCATCTGATTTTGGAATCTAGGTAGGGTCTTTTGTGGTTAGTCCTTGGATGGAGGACCACCAAGGATTGCCAGGAATCTCTAGTCAGGGCTGGGGAAGAACCCCATTGAAACCCTGAGGGGCTACAGCTCCTATTAGAGTTATCAATAGTGGACCCCCAAGAGTTTGATTCAGTGTAAGGCCATGTTCCTAGGCAGTAAGTCCCAGGTTGAACCCTGGCCTCTCCAGGCAAAAGCTAAGGAAGAGCTATATGGCTGGCGGTTAGTGTTGGCAGCACTGCAGTTGGCCCTGGATAATGCAATAGGATGCCTCCTTGGAAACATTTGAGGAATTTGGCTACCACTTTTGCAAAACTTCAGAAGCCCTTTGCTCCACCGTGCAATGAAAGAGAACAGCAGTTTGGTCGGAGAACAGAGTGGGGCTCTTTGGAGGATGAAAGGACATGCCCATATCTTTCAGTTACAGCAAGGTGTTTCCTTTGTCTATTAGAGGTTGAAGAATGCAGATTTAGTCTCTCTGTGGCTTCATCTTTTCAAACCTCACCAGAGCCAAGAGCCAAAGGGCCCAGCAGAGGTTTCCCTATTAACCTTTGCGAAGCTGTTGCCTTCCACCTTTCCCGATTCCTCCTCTCCCACCTCTTTCCCGTTTTTATTTTTTGAAAACCGTCGATGCCTCGGCAGGGGGCAAGATCCACATCAGGGTCCCCAAAGCCAATCAAGCTTTCACACCAATTAAGCTTATTGACACCAGATTGGAGACATTCCTTCAGGATGACGGCAATGGTTTTCTTAAGGCAAACAACCCCCTGAAACGAGGCGGAATTTCGAGAAAACAATTCTCAGGGAAAGAAGGGGGAAAAGAGAAGGGAAAAGAAGAAAAAGGAAAGTTACCCCCTGAGGTTAAAAAGCAGCTCAGAAGTGTAAGAAATAAAGCTGATCTCAAAACCTTCTTCCAGAAAGAGAGAGAGAGATGCAACCCCTTCAAGTTGGAAACAGGGTCATCCTAAATCTGTCTTTTGTTCTGGAATTGTGTTTGTTTTCT